TTCTTTTTTTTTTTTTTTTTTTTTTTAAAGAAGATGGTAAAGGTATTTATTTGTGCTGGTCTCTGCCTTTCACCCAAGTACTCCCTTCCTGTTTCTTATCCCTTATGCCAGAGGCTGTCAACCAGGGGTACTCTGAAAGGTCCCAGGGACAGGCAGCACTTGGGGATCAAACACCAGTTGAGTCCTTCACTAGGTCAAAGCTCATGGGAGAAGACAGAGTGGCGAGGAAAGTGACCCTGCCAGGGAAAGGCCTTCTATTGCTGGCCCCTGACTGGACTGAGGCTCTCAGCCCTCTGTTGGACCGTCCCACCTACATAAAGGCTTCCTGTTCCCTGGAGAAGCTGTCTGGACAACAAAACTCCTGCTGTCCATGTACTGCTCTGCTGTTTCCCTGCCTTTGCACCCTGGCTCTAGATGATGTTGCTGACCCTGTTCAGACGACGATATCTGCCTCGCATCTTGTACTGATGGAACTTGGTTCTCATAGGTATCCAAGCCGGCTTTCTTCCTGACCCTGTTCTGTCTCATGTTTTGGCCCTGGGTTGGACTGTAACCCTTGGCCACCCCTCAGACCTCAGCCAACAGCTTGTGCAAACCACCAGCTGAACTGCCTATACCTTGGTATGTGACCCCATCCCATACAAATCCTTACCTGATCTGCTACTAAAACTATGCAACCAACCCAATCTCCCAACTCAACCTGCCACAGGTAAAGAAGGGAAACAAATACTTAAAACATTTAAGTATAGAACTATTTAAAATTAGTTACAAGATCAATTAAGATTCCCATGAGTCTTAATATTAAGTTACTAATGTTTCTTGAATTTTTAAATATACATAACCTAATGTGACACGGGTTTAAGATGCCTGTATAACACCCGAGTAAGATGCTAAAGATTTTGCCAAAACATGTGTAAACCAAGAACCCCTAAAAATTTAGAAAAATAATATTTCTCTGCCCCTGGCTGCCTGTCAAAGATGACGGTATCCAGCAGCAGCAGGACCCAGCAGCCCAGCTCCACCCCTCCCCCAGCTGGATGCCTCTGTCTAGCAGAGGCTTCAGGCCTGGGACCCTAGGGCTGTTCTCTACCTCCCTCCACCAGAGAAAGAAACTCAGCTAAGAACACGGCGGCAGGGGAGGACTGCAGGTGATCACCCCAGTCCTCGGGGCTGGGCCAGGCTGGCTCCTGCAGTCCTGTGGACCCGACCATACAGCTGAGACCCACGTGGTGCCAAAGTGGCGAGCACAAAAGCAGACAAATGGCAGCGAGCAGGTGGTGGGGGCAAGAATGTGGTAATAATTGGGTGCGAGTGCAGGGCCCATGCCAGTGCCCTTGGGCCAGGGCCAGCCAGGGCCCACAGCAGGACAGCAGGAGTGCAGGGCAGGGCAGGGCTGGAAGGGGCTCTATGGAGCCAGGCTCAGCTGCACCAGCAGGGAGAGTGGGGAACTGGCCTGGTTCCACAGAGCCCCTGGCCAGACTAGGCCCCATGAGCTTGCTGCCCCACGCTGGGCCCCTGCCAACCTTGGCCCTGGTGTACCAGTGCAGGCCCCATGTTCCTACCCAGCTGTCTCTGCACCTCCATGTCCTTGCTTGCTGCCACTTGCCCTCCTGCCTGCTGCTGCCACTCCTCCCCACCCACCACCTGCCTGCCAGCTGCTCCATCACCATGTGGCTCC